ATTCTTCGAATTTTTTTGTTTAATTTAATTTTAATTTATTAAATTAGTAGATTTATTTTCATGGATAGATTTTACACTTGATTTGCTTATGCTTCTGAATTTAAATGATATTGTAGATTAGTTCGAGAATTAAATCTTTTACATGTTTGCATATTTTTTTTAAATTATTTTAAATTATTTTGGCTTTTTTTTTTCCTTTTTTTAGAATTTAAATTTGCTTTTCTACTTTTTTACTTTTATACATATTTGTTTAGAATTTAAATTTTTTTAAATTTAAAAGTAAAATTCAATAAATATTTTAAGTTAGAGTATGATTTGTATATAAAACATATATTGAATTGTATCCATGTTTAATATTTACATGAAAAAGTTATGAATATGGCAATGCATTTAGTATGAAAGTTGAAAATTTTCATTGTCCCAATCTTACTTGAATAAATTATCACATAATATCACATCACATGTGAAATTCATATAATTTGAACTTTATCCTATTTATTAGATTTTCCCAGGTTACAGATTTTTTGCACAATTCTTGAAAGGGGAGAAATAGTTCTTAGTCTGTTGCATTAAAATATGTGTCAAAAATCATAGAGCTTAATATTTTATGATAAAAAAATTTCAGTTTTTTTCATCAGCCTCCAGTTTAGCATGTGAAATTAAAATAAAATTAAGTGGTATCTTTATTTTGTGCAGTTCCATTTAAGAACCCCCCCCTTTTGTGTGTGTGTGTGTGTGTGTGCGTGCGCGTATGCATGTGTGTGTGTGTGTGCCTGCACTCATACCAGTTCCAGTTACCTTGGGGAGGGGGTAATTAAGCAAAATTAAACTTTTTGTGTATTGTTATCTGATATTTCTGTTTTTAGAAGATTTAAATATTAAGTGGATACATTTCAAATGGCTAACTTTAAGTAATATTGAAAAAGACCAGTGAAATCATTTAAGAAGTAACTGCTGGCATCACATGGGTGACATCATGTACTTGATAGATAGATATTTTGTGATGAGTTATTTACTTGGCTATTAGTATCAGTGTTGTGCTACAAGTCATCAAGGGATTCATTGATTGAGTACAACTGAAAGGTTACTATTATTATTTAAATAGTTTAAATTGGGCCTTTTCAGGTAATCGTCTCAGGCATGCTGTGGAAGCTGATTCCCTGAAAAGTGTCCATATAATAACTGAAATATTTGTTTGTTGCCTGTTTCACTGTGTTTCTATGTATAGCTGCGAGTAATAAAAGTTAGGTATGCGAGTGCCTCGTGTAATTTCAGTCCCACAAACAAGGTGTGTTACAGAGGATTTTGTATTTAATTGCCACGAATGATAAAAAGTGGATCTATAACTAGTATGGCAATTGTTGTTTCATATCTGCTCTGTAGTTGGATGCAGATAACAATCTAAGGCACTGTCCAAAGCCAACTTTTCATCCTCAAAAGATAGTGTTGCTTTTGTAGTGGTATGAAACTGTATCAGTCTGGACTTATTATTTGAAAGAATTATGTTAAATGAGAGCCAGTATCTTCACCTGAAGCATATAGTTTTTGTTAACACTTTACCGACTGGCCGTCGATTAATCGACGTTTAGTTCTCAGCGCATACCGACTGGCCGTCGATTAATCGACGTTTAGTTCTCAGCGCATACCGACCGGTCGTCGATTAATCGACTTTTGATACCCATCGCTTACCGACTGGTCGTCGATTAATCGACTTTTGATACCCATCGCTTACCGACTGGTCGTCGATTAATCGACTTTTGATCTTTCTGTTAGATTTGGTTAGGTTAGATTGACAAGTAGCAAGCAGCAAGCATTTTGCATTCTTTATTCAGATAATCGTTGCTTTTTTCTAAGCTTTAGCCATTAGAAATGAATGAAAAGGATAGTCTCGGCGAGTTTTATCGACGACCTGTCAGATTGTCTTGACTGCCGTTCAGCAAGTAGTACGAATGACGAAAGTGATAGCAGTAGTATAGCCATTCGAAAGTGACGTCCTGTACCGCTAATATACAGTGATTCAGAAGACAAGGACATGAATAATAATGTTGAAGACAACAATGATACATGGTCAACGAACGACAAGAGTATAATTTTGGAACCTTTCGAAGGCAGCTCTGGCGTAAAAATTATGCCAAGTTCCTCCAAAAGCGTAATGGATATTGTGAATTTATTCATTGGAAGTGACCTGATTGAGCACTTCGTGAGGGAGTCTAATAGATATCATTATCAAATTGTGGAAAAATATAGAATTACATCAAAAACGAAAAAATGGAAAGACGTCACAGTGACTGAAATGAAGAAATTTTTGGGCCTGATCATTCTCATGGGACAAGTAAAGAAGGACATTCTCTACGATTATTGGTCTACAGACCCATCTATAGAAACGCCATTCTTCTCGAAGGTTATGAGCAGGAACAGATTTTTACAAATAATGCAAAGCTGGCATTTTTGTAATAATAACGATATTTCTCCCAATTTGCATAGGCTGGTGAAGGTCCAGCCTGTCATTGATTATTTCAAGGAAAAATTTAACAACGTATATAAACCAGATCAACAGTTGTCTCTAGATGAATGTTTAATTCCGTGAAGAGGTAGACTGTCAATCAAAACATATAATCCGGCAAAAATTACAAAATATGGAATGCTGGTTAGATTGCTGTCTGAAGCTCGTACAGGATACGTATCCAACTTTTATGTGTATGCCACTGATGGAAAAAAAAATTAGAAGAGACAGTATTATCGGTCATTGGACCGTTTAAGAACATATGGCACCATATATATCAAGATAATTATAATAGTGTCAACATAGCTAAAATATTTTTTAAAAATAAATTGCGAGTGTGCGGGACGATTCGAAAGAACAGAAGTCTTCCTCAAATACTTCAAACGGTCAAGCATTCAAGAGGCCAACATCAATTTCTTAGAAATGGCCATATTTTATTACAAGTATGGAATAAGGGCAAAAGGAATGTAAACATGATATCGACAATACATTCTGCACAAATGGCAGAATCTAGAAACAGAAGCAGGACATCAGATTGCCCCATACAGAAGCCTATTTCAATAATAGATTATAATAAATATATGAAAGGCGTAGATAGCGCAGATCAATATCTGTCCTATTACTCCGTTTTTACGAAAACAAAAAAATGGACGAAACGTGTCGTAATGTTCTTCATCAATTCTGCACATTTTAACTCCTTTAAAGTATATACAACTCTGAACGGACAGATGATTACATATAAAAATTTTCTGCACAAAGCGGCACTTTCATTGATAGAAGACTGCGAAACTGAAGAACAAGGTAAGGATCTACCTAATTCCGAACCCACAAGAACCACATCCTGATTTGATCATCCCGGAAGACTGGCAAATTTCGGAAAGCATAAACTAGTAAATATAGTGACCAGCTCTCAATGTAAAAAACCCCTACGACAATGCAGAGTTTGTGCAAGTAAAAAAAAAACTAAGCAGAACAGGTTTCGCTTGTAAATACTGCAACGTCCCACTACACAAAGTTGACTGTTTAGAGCGCTATCATAGTTTTAAAAAATATTAAACAACTTCTTTTTTCGACAAATATTGTTATATGGATTATGGTATATTTTATGTAAATAATAAAATGAAAACGATTGTAATAGATAAAATAAATATTGTTTAACACTAATATGATTAAAATAAAAGATTTTATTAAATTTCGTTACCCTACAATAACACAAAGCGTACAATTTTATTAGAGTTTAAGAAAAGCGCATATATTCCCGTGTGTCAGTCTAGGCCGAAACCGAGCTGGTGTCTCGGACGATCTGCGGCTGAGCGGGCGGTGAAAGGGCATACTATGTTCGAACCGCTACCGGTCGGTAAAGTGTTAATAGGCATGGTGTCATGCTTCCTCCTAAAAAAACTGTCATTATTTCAGTTAGGTTACAAAACTCTTCTCGCTCACCAATATACCAGATAAATTAACTTGTCTGGTGAATATGATGGATGCAGATTATCACATTTTTCATTGCCTGGGCAACTTTTTTTCTGGTCAAGATTTAAAAATCTCTGCTATGTCTGTCGGGTAGACAAGTAATCCTTGAGGTCACCCCCATGAGAGTGCTTTAGGTCTGAAATTCATGGTGCAACATAAAGACTGAAAGTTGTGCTTTTGAAGAAGTTGGTCACCAGTCAGCCGTTTCAAAGGCATCAACCCAATAATAGAAACATAATTTAAAAGTCTGTATGCTAAAATTCTCTGCATCAAGAAATAGCATTTCTTTAGTTTTTTCATCGAAGTCACAAATTTATTGCAAACCATAAGAGCAAAACTAAAGTAAGATGTATTACTTTTTTATTGCATGCCAAAAGCATACGCTAGTGTTAGTTTATTAGGAATAAGTTAAACATTTTGTTTTGAACAAGTAAAAAATAATTTACTTAGTTGTAGTATGGCAAAAATAAAAATGGAATTATATATTTAATTTTAGGTTTACAAAAATAAAATTGTGTTGTATTATTAAAATGATTTTTATTTTAGTTTTATATATATATATATATATATATTTAGTTGAAATAGAAATAGCTTGAGTATTTAGGCAAAAATGAAATAATAATAAGAAGGAAGAATGAAATGGTAAATCATTTGCAAATTTCATTCTTTAATTTTATCAAAAAGAGCATTTTGTACTCTGTTTTATAAAAATAAGACTCTTTATATATATATATATATATATATATTATATGTATATTTCTCTCTTAAAGTATTATAAACAAAACAAAATTTCCTGCAGTTAATACTTATTTGTTAATATTTATTTGGCTGCAAGGAAAAGACAAACCATTTATCTGAATTATGCATAAATCTCTTATTATATTATTGTTATATATTGTTATATATTGGCTTTTTGATATGTAGTTAATCCAGCCATAATTGTTTTCAAGTTGTGTTAGGTGAGCATTAGTGGCATTCCACCTATTTTGTGGAAATGATATTAAAATGCATTAATCTTTTTCAGAGTTGACGTCAATCGAGAAGTTACCTGTTGCCAAATCACTCATATTGCACAGACTTCCAGAAGATAATTATGAAGTTCTGCATTATTTGTTTGAGTTTTTAGTAAAGGTGAGATCATTTTTGCCAGATGGACTTTTTTATTATTTGAATGTTGTTATTGTGTTGATGTTTTTCTTAGTTATTGCAGTATATTTTTCCACATCAGTATTGGTGAGAAAAGAAAGCTAAGTATAAGCTGTGATAAAATAAGGACAAATCAGAAAAATTGTATTGTTTTGCCTGAAATTAGTACGATTTCTATCAGACAAGGTCATGCAACTAGCTAAATAAAGTAATGTTGAGTCAGTCAATATATTTCATAAAAATAAACGTGGATTATGTCAATTAATATAATCCAAGGCTATTATGAAAACAAGTTGTATTGGAGAAGTCACTATTTCATATTCTAAATAGGAATAAAAATTCTAACACACTTCAAAATTTCCAAGATTTCACTCATCATGACTGTAGTTTTTTACTGTAGGAACTTCTAAATAAACTTACGCATAAGATGGAAAATTGCTATAAAAGGTACATATCAGTCGGAAGTGACTTTATTAGTTTTTTATAGGTATCTCTGCAAAGTTCTTATGCTGACTTTTCCATCCCTCATTTGATATCGCATTTTTATGTTCTTATTTAACTTCCCAAAATAGGCAATTCTGCAGTTTCAGAACATGTTAGGCATGATAAAATAAAGATTTTGTGCAAGTTCTGTGTTTGCAAAAACATTTATGTTATATGAGTTAGTTTTTGTAGTTGTTCCTTTAAATTTTCCTTCCAGTGCAGGTGGAGAAATAGTCATGTAATGAGATAATATAGCTTGTCTATGTGAAATTAACAATACCTTTTAGAGAATGCTGCATATGTTGATCAACCAGCATGGTCTTGCTTTGTAAATTCACTAACACATGCAAGATGATTAATGAAAACATTTGTCTGCCCAATCGAGTATCAAAGAAAGCACAGGAAATCATCAATATTTTTCTGAAGGAACTATATTTTAAAGTATCATTAATGGTTGTACCCTAGTCAGATGATGGACTTGTAGGAATCTCCACTGTGTAATTCTAAATTACAGTTGAAAGTGAAGAATCTTAAGAACTAGTAAGGAGTTCGTGAGACAATGAATAAACTTGGAAAGGGTTGAAAGACCCTTTATTATTCAAATAAGATTTAACAGAACTCCATCTTGGAGTTGTACAATAAAGCCGACATTCGGGCTTCAAATTAGGAGACTAAGAGTTAAACTAAACTAATCTTAACTGAAGAGATATAGCCGAAGCTATCAGGATTCTAAAGGAGTTGGCCCCTTAACGCTAATTGACTGCAAAGCTATCAAGGACCTAATGTGCGGCCGAATATAATAATAGCTTATGAGAGAGTAGCTTAAAAAGGTGGATGCATGCAGCCAGAATGTCTGGTATCTCTCTCTCTAAGACAGTAGAACTTCGCGGTTAAATACCGCTCTTCCTCATTAGTATTCACACATGATTCTAAAACTATGTTCTGGCCGGAAGTGGTAAATTGAAATTAAGAAGTGATAGGAAAGTTTAACTTCAAATTGAACTGTTAATAAAATTAACATAATTCTTACAGACTTACTAAAAATAGCATGAAGCTTCATTGTTACACCTGTGCTGCTGTAAGATGTAACCATCTTCATATTGAAGTACTTTGCATCCTGGTGGGCAAGTTACTTATATGTGTTTATTTCTTATGGAAATTGTTTTTATGCAATTATAAACGGACTATCTAGCATGTCTCTCCAACATTTAATCAAAATCTTTATATGTTTTAATCATAAGTTTCTGAATTTCATTAATTTATGGATGTCGATATATTATTTTAACCCTGTATAATTTTATCTTTTTAATAATTTTTTATTTTTTTAATTTTTGAATGTTAATTTAATTCTTATTGGATGTTAATAGCGTTGAATTGATAGATGGATTTGCATATACATAATGAAGGAAAAAAAATTATTAATTTGTGAAAATAATTATATATACGAGTGCCAAAAGAAATGGATACAGATGAGCCGATGAAAAAAAGCATTAATACTGCTTAAGCATTTCAGTAGTTGCATCTGCTAGTATGTATGTAAAGTGAAATAAATGTAGGGTTTTAATAAAAGTTTCCCGCCATCGCAAATATCATTTGCCATAAAATTAATTTTACAAATAAAAGTTAATTTTACGAAGAAAACTGAATGGTTTAAACAATTAGAAGAAAATCACTTATTGTAAAAAATGAAAATTTGAACAAAAATGTGAAGAGGTAATTTGGAAAATGTTTTATAAGAATTGTTATTTTATTTCAATTTTAAAATCGAGGTATTTAAAACTAGCTGAAATGAAAGGTAAAACATTTAAAAAATGACAGAGGTAACATAAAATGAAAAAAATGTCCCACTATGTCTTTTTTTTTATGTAATTTCATTATATTATTTTAATGGTATTTAATTTTATAGGTATCGTAATATTACATCATTAGACAGTGTGTTTTAACGAAAGTTTCCCACCATCGCAAATATCGTCTGCCCAAACAGTTTGTGTTGGCTTGTTATCATTAAATACAAGTTGTTTCAAATAGAACTATCACACTACCAAATTAGAACGATCATATACTTCCAGTTCTGCTCCAAAAGTCAGCTACAGAATGTCACCAAATTATGTGTACAGCTTTAGGTACTATTTTGTATCACATGACACTGTGAAGGCTTGGTACCAAAAGTTCAAAAACAAGGAGTGTGACATTCAAGAAGCAGAGGGCTCTGCCTGGCCTACTGATGTTGACGAGGCCCACCTGCAATAACTTGTGAAAGAAGATCAGTATGCAACCCCTCAAGATCTTGCTAAGGAATTAGACGTTAAACTTGACATACAAGTTCAGCTGCTGGGTCCTGTATGATCTGACTCAAGCAAATAAGGGCAGGCATGTTTGGGCCTGAACGAAACGGGTTGAATATTGAGGCAAGGACAAAATTTGGGACTGGATCATTACTTGTGATGAAAAGGGGATTTACTTCAACACAGGTCAAAAATGGAGTTGTTCTGTGCTCAGTGAGCCCATGAGCAGCGTCGCAAAGCACGGTTTGACTATAAAAAATATCCTGCTTTGTTATTCAAACTTTGTATCTGGTTGGATTACCATGGTATTATTCACAAAGAGTATCTAAGAAAGAGGTAAAACCCTTGACAGTAAGGTGTACAGCGAGATGCTAGTCGGTGTTGAAGTTGCTATTAAGAAAAAATGTCGAACTGGGTTCCACAGCAAAATGGTAATGTTCCATCAAGATAATGCAAGACCACGTGTGTCTGCATTGGCCAGCTGGACTCTGTATGGACTCAAATAGGATCTTTTGCCGCACCCACCATATAGCTCCGGCACTGCTCCTTCAGACTTCTACCTTTTTTCATGCCTGCAGCTACATCTTGCTGGTGCTATCTTCCATTCTGCACAGGACATCCAAAATGAAGTTGGTCTGTTTTTGGACTCGCACCCAGCAAGTTTCTGGGCCGAAGGTTTTGAACAACTACAGAAACTAGACTAGAAGAGAAACACGCTAATGTGACAATCAAAATCATAAAAACAACCTTGTATTTAGCATAAGTATGTTGAAATATCTTGCTGGTGCTGGTAAAAACAACCTTGTATTTACCGTAAGTATATTTCGATATACTTACGCTAAATACAAGGTTGTTGTTACGATTTTGATTAACTACAGAAACATTGGCAGAAAATCATAGATTTGGATGGTGATTACTACCCACACTAAAGATACTGCTCTCATATCCCCCCGCCGTGGAAAACTTTCATTACAACCATATATATCTACGCTTATCAAACTGTTTCCGCCTAGAGAAATGCAAATTTTTGCAGTTTGAGCAATATTTAACTCTATAATAGTTTAAGTGTTTGCGATATGATTTCTAGCATTTCGAAAGCAGATGCAAAGGTTGGATTTTCATATGACAGTTTCAAGAAATGTGCTGTGAAATGTTCATATGTGCTTGTGGCTGCAAGAATTCTAGCAGACTTTGGACATACAACAGTGAGCCGATTAAAAATGGATGAATACAACCGGTATTAACTGTTACGAATCATTTCTTATGATATCGTGTTTCCTCAAAAATAAGACCTAATCAGATAGTAAGTCCTAGTATTTCCTGCCCCTTGGATTTGTGTAATATAAGTCGTATCCCAATAGTAAGTCCGAGGTAAGATCATCAGCCAGATTAGTGACTTATTTTTAAGTTAGCCAGTCAGAGTGTAGATGTTAATATACGTACACATTTGAAAATGAACTGGCATAATTCAATATATTGTGTATTGTAACAAACTTAATGCACTTTTGTGAAATAAAGAAACATTTTCTGAATTTTGTGTCTACAATTTACTCCCTCTTTTGTGTGATGCATCATTCTTCACTGCTTTTAATTCTTAGTTCATTCATGATTTTGTAATAGATTTAAAGGGAATATTTGAGTCCCACCCAAGATGAATGCAGAATGAAAGAGGTTTTCCACTGAGTACTACAAGAAGGGAATATGGAAGACTCCTTCAGAAAGAATTACAGCACTCTTGGGGGGGATTGGATCTCTAAATGGTGTAAAAATGGCACTCAGTGTATAATAATGTCAGTCCACAAATGGAAAGAAATACTGAGAAGCACAAGAGTGGAGTAAGTCAGCAAGCATTATTTACTGAGTTGAAAGACATCATCTTTGAATGGAATGCTGACAGAGGGGCAAAGGTTTTGATTGTTCACAGGGCTGACATTCAAGTACTTGCTGTTGCAATGGTACTACCATTAGCTATATCCCTTGAAGAATTCAAAACATTATAACAGTGAAGGGATAAGTTAATGATATGAAGAGTGTCTAAGAAAGATCAGAAATTCTGTTTAAACTGAAAAAGCACTAAATATTATTAAATGTGTACTTGTATTTGATTACATTAAATGTAGCAAAAGAATATTATAAATATTTATATGAATACTTAAATATATGTTTTTCATTCATTATTATTAGCATATTTGTCAAGAATCAGTAATTTCTTTGTGTATAATGAATTTTACTTTTGCATTTTGGCATCATAATTTTTAAAAATAAGTGTTTTGAAAATTACCATAAAATTTCATTCAGTTATCTGACAATTTAGTTCATAGATGGACAATTTAGTTCATAGATAAAACGTAAAATGTATGCCAAATATTAATCACTGCGTCACTACTGAGGGTATATGGATTAGGTATTTTCTTTCCATTTGTTTTGTTGATTTCGTGCTTAGGACTGTATAGGAAATGGATGCTCAGTTGGAACATTTATGTATAATGATTAAAATATATTTAAAAGGAAGATCTTATTAATTAAATCTCAAGTAAGAAATAGAAAAAAAAAGAATTAATTGTGTATAGTATATATGAATTTACTTCCACTTGTGAAATGTCCCCATAATGTGAAAAAAGTTGGGAAACACTAGCTTATAGAATCAAGTTTATGCTTAACAAGTGTAAATATTGTAGCTGTCAATTTCAGTAATTTTTTATTTATAAAATGTTTATCAATTTATTTTGTTTTAGGTTGTCGACAGAAGTGACCTGAACAAAATGACAGCATCCAACCTAGCCATCGTTTTCGGACCAAATCTTCTGTGGGCTCGAAATAAGCAGGCATCTTTGTTTTCTATCACAAAAATTAATCATTTCACTGAGTTTCTCTTGAAGTACCATGATTTGATTTTTGCTAAATAATCCATTGAATGAGAAGAGCTGGTGCTATAGCGTGTAACTTCCCAGTGATCAGCTAGTTCGCTGATGTGCAAAACTTATGTAGGAAGGACTTTATTGCCTAGTTTTCAGTAATTATTGTCAGTACTGAACGGGGTTGCTACCTTTCGGTTGCGAGACGCACACGTTAGCAAATGTGGCATGACATTAAAGTATATTTATAGAAACTGTTATTGAAGACCTCTTAGTATCCGTGTGCTATCACTGTGTGATATTCTTGCTCAAGAAATACTCAATAGTTGTTCATGTTTAGTATTGGCATATCATTAAAACAAAAAATATGTGTTTCATAGATATTTTGTACAAACATATTATCAAGTACTGCTAGTTAAATGTTACATTTATCGGATTTTATGGTATAATATTAGAAAAGTAAAATTTTAAAAAAAAATGATCAAATGTCAATATAGATTATGAATTCTAAATATAAAAAAATTGGTTCGTTTTACTTTTTGTATTGCAAGAAATACTTTGATATAAGCGTTCTTTCTTTCTCTCTCTCTCTCTCTTTTTTTTTTTTTTTTTTTAATAAGATTTTTAGCATTAAAAAGCTATTCATCTGTTTTCATACCATTCTCTTACATGATGGTTATAAATAAATATTTTAGTTATGTAGAAGATGCATAATTGTTTGAGTATAGATATAAATGAAAATAATCCATGCTGGAACATAATTTTATAGATTTGGAGTACATCATTGAATTTCAGATAATTGTGATTTTGGATTTTGTAGCTTGTAGAAATTTCTAGGTAGTTCCCATTATTTTGTGACATGTTTGTAAAAAATTTCAAGTCAAGTAACTGTTTTAAAATTCAGATTTTATGTATGGTTACATGCTTACATTGAAAGGCCTCCAATAGTAAATTGTCCCTTTGAGTAACCTCCATACAACATGATCGCAAAATTCCTGAAAATTGCTTTGATACAAATTTATGTTGTTTAAATCCAAGAATAAATATTCAAAAACTGAGTTAGGCTCCAAAAAGCAATAAAACTTCATTTTATTTTCCTTTTACAATTATCAGAAATATGTTTATCAAAAGTGTGTACAGTTGATCAATTTAAACTAATACCAGCTTTACCTCTCCCTCCATTTCTTTTGATACACATTCAGTTAGATTTTTCTTTGTGGGTAGATATTATAATTTTAATTTTCTTCTGCAGCAACTTGTATTTAATTTTTTAAAATATTTAAATTTATTTGGTCTTTTTATTATAATTTCAAATTTTAATCTTGCTGCTTTGAACCTTTTAGTTAATGATCAAGCCAGTCTATCAGAGAAAATCTTGAATTGGTTATTAGCACATTCCTGAACAGATATGTTTGGTAAACAAGCAATCTGTACTCTTCCCACCATGAAAGCACTTTGGTAACAGACGTCAAGTAAACCTTATTTTCTGTCTTAAGACCTTTCCTTCATCCCATATTCTCACTTTTTTTTCTCACTGGAAGTATATAGTGTCTAATACTGATCAGTGGTTCAACACTAACCACTGCTAAGCCCAAACACTGGTGTGTAAAATAGTGCAGCCAGCAGCAAAAGATGGAAATGAGGAACCAGATTCCTTTTTATTACCTGTTTAATAGCAAGAGTTTCCTTTCACACATATATAATAAAAGCCTCAAAAAGAACTAAAGAATCTGTTTTCTATTCCAACTATCAAGTGGAGTGGGTTCCTTTGTTTCAGTGAGAGGTTAATTTGCATATCATGATGAAGTAAACCTGTATAGGGAGAATACACTTACTTCTTTATCTTCCCAAAAAGGTACTGGGTATGAGTTTGAGCTTGATCTCAAATCATTATAATACCTTTATCCTCCAACCATCCAAAAGTGTAGCTCCAAAAATCACAAAATTCCCAAATATTCCATGAAAAGACATTTTCTTAAACATAATTGCAAAATGTTCCCACTATTTTTTACCTGGAATTTTTGTCTTCCTTTAAAATCTAGACATGTTGAAACATGTCTAAACTATAAAGATGCACATATGCATATTTTAGAACTATCAGAAAAAATACTGTTGGATATACGTAGACATCCTCTCCAGTTGGAAGATTAAGTAGTACAGTCAAAAGTCGTTAATTCGGACACCCATAATCCGGAATGATCTATAATCCATACCTCAAAGCTAAAAACTTTCTGCACATGCGCCGCGTTGGCACATGCGCACAGGCATTTTACGCGTGCGCGTAAGACCTTGACTACTGCGCATATGCGTGTGAGCAAGTGCAGAATACGTTTTCGCCTGCGCGTTTAATGTATAACGAACGGTGTAAGCTAAAATTATCTAATTATATATTTCAGTTAATGTTAATGATTGCGTTGTTCCTTAAACTTCGAATTGGATCCCGCTTATTATTTTTTGCAGACTGTAAGAGCAATTTTATAAAAGTAAACTTGAAACTTTCGATTATATCAAATAGAATTTCCGATGCTGGAACTTCCAAAGGATCTACAAAACGAAAGTATGTTTCGATGTCCAACAAACAAAAAGTGGAGTTGTTGCAAAAAATGGATAAAGACATGAAGAATGTGACAGAGAGGTTAGTGAAAACGAAAAAATTTCGATTGACAAGTTAGTCGGTATTCTCGGCACAGCAATTAACGGGACTTGAACAGCGGAACTTTGTAACTGAACAAGAAATTATGTCTGTTTATAGAATTAAAGAGAAAGTATTATCACATAAAACAAAGCAATTTAACAACTTACATTGAAAGAAATGTTTAATAAAGTAAACAAATAAATATTAAGCTTTTTTTTTTTTTTTTTTTTTTTTTTTTGTAAATTTTGATACCCTTTAGATCATAATTATACTTTATTTCATAAATTACAGTTTCATATTTTTAATTTTAGAATTTCTGTATGCCATCTTACAAGATTTAAACTGATGATCTATAATCCGGAATCGCCGAAGTCCCGACGAGTCCGGATTAACGACTTTTGACTGTAGTTGTTTGTGAAATACTTCCAAATGCTTTTAGTTCCAGCCCCTTATTAAAATTTACTTTTAATTGGCTGGGGAAGATGAAAGTAATTTTTGGAGTGGGAAAACTGTAATGGTATTACAAGACTGGTTGCAGTGAAATCTCTAAAATGTCCACCCTCAGTTCAAGATAATTTAGCTTTCTTTGGACGTGATTGCTGAAGAGAGTGTGAGAGGCAGTGATTTTTTTAATTTATATTCTTGAAAATATGGATCATATGGAAGGTGATTGTCTGATAATCATCATAAAAAGTTTCGCTGCAATAAAATTGGCAAACCTCCCCTTTTAATTATTTTATCACATTCCAAAATTTGAAACAGTATTACAGCCATGTCTTCTTACAATGAAAGGTTAAACAATGAAATTAGTTGTAGTTTAGCACAAGAAAATTTCTCTTGTACTTTACTAGACCTTTTTTAAATGATTAACTAATTAAAAATATTATGATTTTATTGAAAAGGAGCATTTGTTTTGCAAAAGCAACAAATTATTTTAAGTAGCAGCAGAGAAAGGAATGGCAACCCTAAGTCAGTTACTAGTTGACAATCTGTTGCGAATGGTTGCTGTAGGGTTTACAGCATTTTGTAACTAAAAGCACACCCTGACCTCTTTTGTGCACACCAGTCGTTACAGCGTTAACCATTCAAATTGAGAAATATATATTTTTTTATTTTCTGAGACTTTTTACTCCCTGTTATGTCATGTGATGAATAACCATTGAGGAATGTATGTGAGAACAGGACCAGTGAATATAAATGTTTTCATTTGAAGTCATGTACAGAGTGTATTGTTATTTTGTTCATTGTCTGTATTAACATTTTATGTACATTGTAAGTTACTTTTATTTCATAAAATAGATATATAAATGTATGTATATTTTGAATCTGTCTGTTCTGAAAGTGTGTATTTAATCATACTCAGTTTGTAATGAACTTAATCTTGATTTTTATTTATTTATTTTTCAAGTTTTACTTGTTAATTTAGAGTTTATGAAATACATGTTTCTGCGCAAAAGAATGTGTAAAACTTTTAAATGGAAAAGGGCAAATATATATCATTGAACTTGGAACTATTTTAAATGACTGCATAATTTTATATCTGGATAAATTATGCTTACTACCAGATGCAAAGAGTATGTTTATTTTTCAGCATTTTTATTATTTTTTTATATTTACGGGGGAGGGAAGAGGAAATGCTCAGCTGCCTCATTTTTAAATTCATTCCTTTAATGTTGTCATTTCTCCTGTAATAGAATCCACTGTTAAAAAATAGTCCACTCTTTAAATCATACCTATTGCGCCTTTGAAGAAGTCGGCAATAAATGCTTATAAGAATAACTGGTTTGGTCAGGTATAAGGAGAGTGTTCCATTTAAATGAATTAAGAATTGATATAAAAGCAGCTCATATGCTGCTTCCCAAATATTACAGCTCATCTAGATATTCAAATAATCAAGAAATTGGATTATCTCCCTTCTGTAGACCAAATATATATTGTAATGCATGTGAGGAAGTTCTATTTTCTTCATTGTATTTTATTTTAAGAAATATTATGCAATTAAAAGTGTAAAATGGTTTTATTTCAATAATTTTTCAAAAAAATTTATTTCAATAATGAAATATTTTTCTGGTGCAAAATTTAGCAGTGGAATTCTTTTTCAGTTGCCTAAACACATGACCCATTTCAAATGAAGTAAAAAAAGTAAGATAAATCTAAATTTGCTATGCCGTGAGTCTTTATTATATTTTTCTATGCAAAAATATGAGTTTTTTTTTTAAAGCCTATTTCTATTAAGTTAAAATATTTTTTTAATTGAAATAAAGTAGTTAAAACTTACAATGCCGTATTTCTTTTAATTATATATAGTGTTAAGTTATTTAAATTCTCAAAAAAAGGGAAGGTTAAAAGCATTAATTAATAAACAATAAGCTTAATTTTATTTAACTAGAAAAGAAAACAAAAATGATTCATATGGTTAGAATTTGTTATATGTCTTACTTACAGCAAGTTACATATAGCATATTTTTTAATGAACTTTCTGAGTCAGCACTAGTGCTGGTTAAAGGATTATATTTTTCATAACAATATTAAAATAACTTATGTACAACATGAATGTGTTTCATGCGCATTTCAATGAATTTGTTCTATCAAATTATGAGTTATAAAAGAAATGATAGTACTAACATGTATTCTCATTTTCTGTTTTTGTACCTGGAATTGTATTTATTCTTACCCTTTTCTATGGTGCAATTTTTTTTTTTTTTTTTTTTTTTTTTTTTTAAGAAAACCAAAAATTGGT